ACTTGGCCCTAATTTTTGTCATGTATACACTTATCTAGCCCTAAATTTGTTAGATTAGGGCTCCGTTTGGGGTAACTTAAAAGTGCGGCGGCGTTTTCAAAACACCGCCTTTCTGTTTGGTTCGAATGTTCTGTCAGCGTTTTTAAAACCGACGTATTTAATTTCTTAATAAACGCGGGCCGCGGGGCCGACCCCGAGTCCCCCGTGTTCATTTGGGAATGTTTACTTCGCTGCCCTCGACCTCGGAAGAATGGCGTGAACATGCAGATTTCTGATAGGAGCGGCGCGCAAGGATGAGAAAGATGGGAGTTTCGGCGGTCTATGTAAGCCGCGATCCCGTCGTTGTCTTCCTAGGTAGCTCTAATGGCGCCTGTATCGGGATGGTTCGTTCAAGCGATGCAACTTTGTGGTAGGGATAAATAGGAGAAGAGGAAGAATCGAGGGGTGCGAGATGATGCAGTTTTGGGTTCTGCTGGTCTGTACTCTGCTCCTCCGCTCCTCTCTGCACTCTGCGTTTCACTCCTCCTTGCATTCCGCGTTTGAAGGATGAGCAGACTTTAGAGAGCTATGGTGCTCCAACTTATTATGTTATTATTTTCTCGTCATAATTAATTTATTCCCTGTCGTGATTAGACTCCGCTCCTCCCTGCACTCCGCGTTTGAAGGATTAATTTGCTAATTGTTTGTATGTATCCAAAAAGTATTTTCTGGCTTAAAGTTGCACCAAATCTTCTCCATAACATCTGCACAATGGCTAAACAACCATTAGTTTCCAATGACCAATGCCGCATCAAATTGTATCTCTGATCTCCAATCTTATATATTATAATGAAAAACTGTGTCTAGCTAATTAAGTTTGATGATGCTTTTAGGGATAAAAAATAAGATGATTCAAAAAATAGATACACCCTAAAAAATAGAATATACTTCTCTTCTTCTGCAGTATTGAATATATTGTCAAGATAATTCTGTTACAAACAACATTACTTAATAGGGGCAGAATGGTCAATTAGCAGAGACAGAATGATCATTTATCCACAAATAACTGCAAATCAACTGTTTTCAATTAGCTGCCCCAATCAGCCAGCCAGTTTATCAAGATAAGCTGCTGATCAGCAGCTTAAGCAGCTTGTCAGGATAAAGTGTTTTTTTGGATAAGCTGTAACTGCCCAAACAGACCCTAGGCCTGACAGATAACGTCATTGAGAAAAGCTACTTGTTGCCTTACAGGGTCTTGCTTGTTGTTCCTTGACAGTTAGAACAAAACATGTTATGTCATGCCATGGACCACTTTTATCTCGCCCATTGGCCCATACCTGTTGTCGACAAACGGGAAAAAAAGGGAGATTTTCAAGTCTCGTTCCTTGCAATAATTATCTCAAAATTTGACAATATGAAAGATTCTACACCTTAACATACCAGAGTATGCTATGGAGAAGACTAAGGATCCTCACCAAAGGTGAAATGGCCACAGTAAACTAACATATTACAACTAAATTACTTTCTTCATTTCTTTTTTTAGCAATTCTTTTGTGTTAATTATTTCAAGGGATTGGGTAGAGTATGAAGCTATATTTTGTTTCTTATATCATATAATGAGGCCTATATTGAAACATTTCGGTTTATTTATTTATTTATTATTTTTTTAAAATTAGCTTTTATATAAACTATTTTTCATATTACAGATTCAATTAAGCATAGAAGTTCCTCCAACCATCTGCAAGCAGAGTTACAACAAGGTTTTACATGAAATTTCTAAGCAAGCAAAGGTATAATGTTCGGCATCAAGTTCATACCTTCTCATGATTTAACATGTTTATGTTTTGTAGATATCGCTGAGCATGATACTATCGCATGCTATGTTAGAACTTCACATATATTTGTCTTAATTAATTTTCTTACTCATTCTTTTACGCCACGTGTGATGACTTATTAAAATGACTAACATGCATTTTTTATTCTATGAATTATTTACTAGCTTTGTTTTGAAATATACAACAACAACAACAAAACCTTAATCCCACTATGTTGGGTGGGCTAAATTAATCCTTTTTCTCCATTGCTTCTCATTTATTGTCATATTTTCATTTAGTTCTAATAAATTAAAATCATTTTTTATACAATAAGCTCAAGTCTTTCTAGGTCTATCTCTGCCTCTGCCTTTCTTTGCATAAGTTGAATCTAGAACATCACTCTCCAGCAACAATAACCTTTGCCTTTATTTTGAAATATAATGTGATGGAAAATAAATACGAATAAATAATGAACTTGTGATGCTTTGTATGATGCTTTGTATGATGCTTTGTTTGCCCCCTTTTTGTTAAATTCTAATAATCTTTCTATATATTCCCTCTTACTTTGTATGATGCTTTGTTTGCCCCCTTTTTGTTAAATTCTAATAATCCTTCTATATATTCCCTCTTAAGGAGTCTCTTTATTAAAATCATCACATCACATTATGATAAGGATCTCAATCGCAATAGAAAAGAGAGAAAGAGAGAGGAAATAGAAAAGAGCGAAAGAGAGAGGAAAATAGTAAGAAAATGAACAAAACAAAAAGGTGTGGAGGATTTTCATAGGGTAGCCTTATAAGATAAGGAACGGAGGCCCGAGAAAATCAGACCAAATCTCCAAAAAGTGACTTATGAAGGCCCTTCACATATAATCAGAGAATCAAAATTAATTTTTATTCTGGGTACATAAGCTCACACAAAATAGCATGGTCCTTTGATTAATTATAATTTGAAGGATGCCCAAATGACGCGATTAAAAAAAAATTTGCTTGTATTCCTAAATATCTTGAGGAGTATAAGATGAAATGATCTTGCAGTTTGTGCTGTTTCAATACGCGATACCTTATGTCTCAAAGCCTAATTGGGCTATGGGATAGCTGGTGAATCATCATACCCTTATGGGTGGTTACCCTTCGCATGACATGAGGGACTGTGAAACAACACAAATTATATATCAAAGGACTCCAAATCGGCTGAAAATAGGGTCCAAGGATAGGTTAGAAATTTTAAAGTTGGTGGGCATAATCCGGTCAAGATTTTATCGATCCATTATTTTTGGTTATCAGATTTCAAATCTATTTAGTTGCAGAGGTAGTAGGCCCAATGCAATCAAGAATTCTTTATCAACGGTCCACAAAATTGCGTTGTTCTAGGAAACTTTATGAACTAAGCCAAGGAAACGCGAACTGAAAACTTATGACTTAATCTAGTAGAAAGGATGAGGAATAATTTCTTTTAGAAGATGATGAGATGTCTATAGAAAGAAAAGAGGAGAAAATAGCTTGACCACAAGAGAGACTATTCAGCTTGGTTTATAATTTTATCAGGTTCAGGATAATCATTGAATTCCTCGTACCTTCTAAACAACCATCTAAGTGATTATAAATCATGTGATCAATCATTTGGGTGAGAAGCTGATATTTTAAGAAAATAGTATGGTGCATTATTATCCATTTCCAATGTGGATGCTTTAGTAATATGCTTATGTAAGGCTATAACTTGTATGTGAGCCAACTTTAGTTTAATGCAGGCCTGCATTCTCTTTTATGATGCGTACAGGAAGTAAAAATTGTGACCTATGGATTCTCAGTCACAAAGAAGAATCCAAAAATATAATTTTTCTTAAAATCGATTACACCATGAAAATTCACAACAATAAAAATCTTTAATATTTTCTCTATCAATTAGAGTTTTTTTACAAATGTTTAAAACTTTTTAAAAATGATAATTTTATCTTATGCACCTAAACATGTGCATGAACCCAAACAAATAGGATAGATTAATAAAGCACATGAAACAACACTCAATATATAATTAAACACATATTACAATAGATTATATAACGGCCGGCTCTAGCCGAGCTTTATAATTTCATCCGGTAAGAAAGGAAACGAAAGTGGTCGAGCTCCCCATATGTACAATCTGACCTAAAATTTATATAAAAGTAATATTTTGAAGTTAAGATATGAGACATTAAACATACAAAAACAAAGGCCAATATGCACAATAGATAAATGATGCAACTTACAATGAATTGTGCCCTGTGAGAGGGCTAAGCTAGAAAACATTTGCAAAAAAAATATTAGTACTTATTTTTACATTTGGCTACTTTTCTATGTGCATGATTCTTTATAGAATATCACATATATAGTCTTAATCTAATGTTGACACCACATCCAATCAACATGTTAGAAGGCAAACATAAAATGTGTGTTCAACACAAACAACATTTCACAATGTCACATATAAAAATCTTAACCAAGGCGGGAATAGACGGTTAGGCAGTGGAAATTAATTTTTCTATAACTAAGAATTTATAACCTAATTGAAATGAAAGTACTACTAAAGAAATTAAATTAAAATTTTCATTGTCCACGTCTATTATAAACATTTTCTCTTCTATTGTTATCATTTAATAGATTAGTTAAATTTGAAATATTAGTTTAAAATAATAGTGAGTTAACCATAGCCATTAAATATTCATTCTTCTAAACTATAATAAAAAAAAAGATACATTCCAATTAAACTTTATGTAAATTAATCTAAGAACATTTGAATGTTTTTACTATCTAATATGATCATTCAAGGTGATTCTAAACATAAATGGTCGAGCAGACCTTCGCTCGTCACATCTTCCTTTACGATTCTACAGTTTGGTGTGAAGTCAGGAGCGTGATTGGGTGCGTCGAGGGATTAATCGAAAGTTGAGAGGTAAGATTTATTTATATATTTTAATAATAATTATTATAAAAATAAATAAACTCATTAAGTATAGAAATTAAAGAATTGTTAAATATAAATAAATAAAAATTATCATAATCATTAATTAAGTAAATGAAATTAATTAAAAAAATAATAGTAAGGGGATTTTAGGATTAAACATAGACATAAGCATAAAAAACTTCAACTAAGCATATAATTAGTTATTATAAACTTTTTTTTTAGATGTCAAGCTAAAGGAGGTGAAGTCGGAATGAAAAGATTGGATTTTAAGCTAATTGAGCAATGTAAGAATTTTTACTTTTAAATTATGGTAACAATAATGCATTTCATCTAAATCACTCGCATTAGAACGACATTATACATTGGTACTGTTAGTAGAATATGATTATTATATTTTATTATTCAAATTGATAATTTATGAATGATTTGCATAATTATGCTTATTTATTACATACACATATTATAAAAGAAACATATTGGAATATATAGCTAATGAAATGATTTATGGCATGTTCGGGTGTGCATGATTGACTATGATTAAGTTCACCTCTTCATGATACTAGCAGATGAAAATTGTACCTGTGCATGTAAATGAAAAAAAATATTGATATTGATATACCTTCATCGGTATAAGTTTAAAAGGCGCTTCTGTGGCGATTGTATATAAATTAAAAAAAACTTGCATACATTAAATTGTATATTTATTATTATTATTTTTATTTGGTTATTACAAACTCCCCTCATAAGATTATGTTCAAAATTTATAAGTCTCTCACAATCCTCTTCTTATTATAGGTAACAAATGAACTATCTATAAAATTTATTATTGTTATTATTATTAATAAAAGTTCTCTATCTCATTCATTAAGTTGAAAAGTTGATACAATAAAACAAATGTTTAACACAAGATAACTCAACTAACTTCTCCCATCAACAAAAACAATATAACATAATAAGGATAACTGCACATCTTAAAAAAGTAATATAACAAAAAAAAACACACACATCCTTTACAGAAGAAATACACTAGAATGACACCCTTATAACATATAATAAAACATAACACTCACCAATCCATATTAGCATCAACGTCAACTACAAATTTTTCAGGCTCTTTATTAGTAAGGGAATAAACTCGGGTTGAACATGTAATGGTTGAGCTTGAGTAGGAGCTGAAGCTGTAGACTCTATCATTCTCTATCCACTTGCAGCCTTTTGTGAAGAAGCTCCAACTGATATCTGTCTTTCTGAGATTTTCTGGCTAAGTGAAGGGCAATATCTAGCTATGTGACCAGCCCGACGACACCAGTAACATGTATGAGAGCCCATCAAACATTCACCTCTTTGTTGTTTTTCACTTTTGACACACAAGTGATTACAATACTTTGAGAAACACTATTACTGAATTTATCAGAATTGAACCTGGGCTTCTTCCTAATGGATCCCTCTGATTGATCCACACACTCTCCTTTATTGATACTATTCCTCGTGTGCATCTCTCTCCTTACATTTCTTAATAAACTGATAATCGATCTCCACTCTTTTAGCTTGCTCTATTAATACTGATAATCATCAATCCCCAATGTCACCAAAGATTTTTTGATTGAATTCTTTAATCAAGAAAGGAATCTATAGTATTTTTCTTCTGCAGTAGCTATCAATTATGTTGCATATCTCGTCAATATTGTGACCTCTGCTTCATATTGCACAATTGTCTTCTCTCCTTGCACTAACTTGATGAACTTATCTTGCATTTGTTTTTGAGTGGATAGGGGTACAAACCATTTTCTGAAAAGCTTCACAAAATCCTCCCAACTTACCATCATGTTGGGTGTATTTCGTAGATTGTTTTGACTGCCCATGACATCATCTTTCAGCTTCTTCATTCGGCATAATTGTAGCTAACGACACTATTCTTTTATCAAGACATGTCATGCTATCTAGAATATTTTCTATCATCATCAACTAATTCTTTGTTTCAATTGGATCTTCAATTCCCTTGAACAAAGGTGAACATATATCTTGAAATTTCT